GGTGTCAGTGGTGGGGGTGAGGGGCACGGGAGGTGCCAGCCTTGTGTTTGCAGTGACCCTGCCTAGGAGCTGGTCATCACTTCACTTGATCCATCTGCTTCACCAGCCACCCAAAACACTCTGTTCTCTCTCCCTACCCCAGGTAAGAAGCCTAAGGACAAGCCCTCACTCCCATCGAGAGCAAGGAGAGCAGTGCTGTGTAATAACCCACTTCAGGCTCCACTTACAGAGGTTAAGGGACTGTCTACTACCACTCTGCTCTGTTAGGCTCTTGAAATGTACACCTCCAACCTGGGTAACTAGAGCAGGCTCTCTTATATTTGGGAAAAAGAACACACAAGCTTCTTTGGGACAACAAAAGCCTTCCCTCACAATTGATCCAGGCATTTTCTGGTGCTGTACCCAACCACACTCACAGGACACCGCTGCCATGTGAATCGATACCGTGCTGGCAGAGGCTGCAGCTCTTCAGTGATGAACGTGATGCCATTGGATAAAACACACATGGTTTGAGCTTCGCTTGGTGCTCCTCACACTGTAGGGCTGGAGCCATATCCTGCTGCGTGGGGCGGGAGCCATATCCTGCTGCTGGCTGCAGCAGTGCAGCGAGCAGACAAGCAGGGATCAATGCTGCAGTGCCTGGACCCAGCGCAGTGATGCACCAGAGGAGCTTGAACCACTGGAGCACAACGTCCCCTCCATGGCACACAGCCTGGGGTTGCATGGAGCGGATAACAACCACACCAATGAAGAGCATCTCCAGAATGCTCCCTTTTCCTGCATTCTCCACTGCAGGAGCCCCAGGCAACTCTCCTCTGTTAATCCCAGAGCCTGACCGAGCAGCAAGGTGCAGCCAGAGATCACACAGGACCTGGCCTGTGGCTGTGGGGTACTCACCGTCCACGCAGGAGGGAGCTGCCCGTGTCGTCCCTGCCACCTGCCCCGGGAAGCAGGAGCATTTCACTGTCTGGGAGCGCTCCTCGATCTTGTTCTTGTTGCAGCACCTGTGAGCTGCAATGACCTCGCATGTGCCGGGCTCTACGTGCACTGCGGGAGAAGAAACAGCCTCCATCAGCTGGGGCAGTGCCCTGGAGCCCCCAGGACACCCCCTGCTCACTGCCCCGCACTGGCCATGCTGTCCCGGCCTCCAGCAGTCACCCAGGGATGCTGATAACACACACACACCCAGCTCAGCCCAGCATCGCTCCAGCCAGTCCATAGGGAGAAGCACTGGTCCTGCTCCAGACCTCCTGTGTCTGAGCTCCTCTTCCTCACAGCCCCCATACCTGTCCTGCCTAGCAAACTTCATAGCCTCTTGCCACAACCAAGCCAAGAGCATGATTCAAATGAATATATCTTGATTCAAATGAATAAAACAATTCGTTTATTGCAGCCGATAATGAGCTGCACACTTTGCTACAAGAGGGAATGATGTGTTGTGCTGCCTTTGGCTTCAGAGTACCACCACCTCCAACCCCAGCTAAAACCAATGCTCCTGTCCCACCTCATCCCACCCTCTGGCTGGAGGAGGGAGGACCAGGACACGTTTCTGCCCTGCAGCAACAGAAATGTCAGCGTTCATCAGAAACCCAGCCTGCTCTGCTGCTCCTCATCCCAGTGCCATTAGAATATTAAGGAAGAAAGAAAACCAATGTGCTGGCTTATCACCTCTGGGATCTGGGTTTAGAAGCTTGTTAGCATCACAAATCAATGACTTTCACTGTGTAATGGCTCACACAAGCACAACGCACATTAGCCAAACAGGGCTGGATAAGACTCATTCCCATGACCCGAGAACCCGTGATCCCTCCAGGTCCTGGTTAATGAGCACAGGAGGGAGCACAGAGACATCCTCTGGGTTGCTGGGAACAGGCTTTTGCTTCTGCAGTGAGCAGGAGCCAGGCTGCGAGGAGGATGGGGAACTGCGTGTCTGCAGTTTGCCATCCCAAAATGCGTGCAGACAGGAGCACCCGGACATCAAACCTGGCCGCTCCACATTGGAAGCCCCATCCACCCGGAGCAGCCACAGGAGGAAAGGCTGGGATATGGGTGCAAGCAGGACATGCAGGGCAGTGGGGAGCAGAGTGGGTGCTGCTGGAGGAGGCACCCACAAGCTCAGCCCTTTCCCAGCCCATGCAGCTCTGGTGGCTGCTCCAACCCTGCCCATCCAGCCCCAGCTCCCAGCTCTGCTTCATCCCCAGCCACTGCCAGAGGGGCCTGCTGAGGTGCCCATCCATCCCCTGCCCCCTAAAGCAAGGAGTTCATGCTGGTGTCCTCTGCCCAGCTCTGCAGGGAGCAGGGGTGCTGACCTGTGTCACAGCACGTACGCACCGCGCTCACCAGCACACATCTCCTGCCTTCCTTGTGGAAAGCAGCCACTTCACCTTCTCTAATGAAAGCTCAGGAAATGGGATCTCTCCCCAGGCGCTGGGGGGAATCCCTCTGCCTGGCAGCTGCATTTTCACATTCCCAGAGGAAAATGCTGATCCAAATGCAACCTCCTGGCTTGCGTCAACCAGGCACGGCCACGTCTGTTTCTAGTCAAAGCAGCCCTTGTCCCTTTCCTGTTCCCAACGCCGAGCACGAAAGGGCAGAATTCAAGCAGCCATCCCAGGACTTGCTCTCCTGCGGTGTCACCAGCCTGGGGCCAGGGCACACACTCAGTGCCAGGCAGAACAGCCACGTTCTAACAGGAGCATGGGCAGTGACACCACTGCTCATCCCTCACAGCCCACTGCACCAGGGAGCCACAGACCCCTGTGCCCTGCACCCGCCAGCACATGGGCAGGACGGGTCACGCAATTACCATGGCTTTAATTTGCCTCTATTTATTGTTATTTCATGGTCATTTTCTTTTAATGAACAATCACTCTCATTTCTGCCCATAATAATTACACAATTACCTATCCAGGAGATATTTTGTAATAGCATCTCTGGCCATAGATTTTATCCTCCCTTTTAAATGCCATCATAATTCAGCTTTAATGACTATTTCTATTCTTCTTTTATGCAGAAATGGCAGACTCTGGTGAAAGTGAGAGGGAAAGCAACTCATTACAGAACAAACACGAGTGTTTTGCCCTGATTTTATGGTTATTAGGCTTTTTCAAATAATCTGAGGGCTGAGCAGAGGCCTTTGGCTTTGGCTGACGATGAACCCACATCCCTACACCGGTCCGGTGCAGGTCCATGAGGAGTCACTCACCACCCTGCATACCTCTCAAACAGGGGATTTTATACCCCTGATCTTTAGTGCTCACATGTGGTTGCGTTTTTGACTCGTTTCTGCAGAAGTCTCTGCACAAAGCTTCATTAGCAGAGCTCTTCCCAGGAGGAAAGGCCATGAGACCCCTCTGCTCCCCATCACTTCTGCTCTCAGGCTTCTCGTTTCCAGCTAATTTGAGAGGGTTCAGCTGAAGGAGAGTGATGCAGAGCTGAGTGATGGCTCGTTACAGCCGTGCAGCGGGAGTTTGCCAACATGCCAAAGCCCTTTTCATTTGCTCAAAAAGGTGCAGCACAGAGATGAAAAGAAATCTGCCCCGCCTGCAGCGCAGCACCCTCAGAGCCCATCCTGCTCCACACAAGCCCGCAGCACCCGCTGTGTCCCTGCAGTAGCACCAAGGAACACAGCCAACTGTGGGTGTGCAGACACACAGAACGTGTGCCCACCAAGACAGAGACAGGGCCCATCTCCAGCTTTGCCTTGTACAGAGCTGTCCGGGCATGCCATAGAATCTAAGAATAGTTAGGGTTGGAAAGGATCTTAAGATCCTCTAGTTCCAACCCCCCTGCCATGAGCAGGGACACCACACACTAAACTATGTCACCCAAGGCTCTGTCCAATCTGGCCTTGAACACCTCCAGGGTTGGAGCATTCACAACTTCCTTGGGCAGCCTATTCCAGTGCCTCAGCACCCTCACTGTGAAGAACTTCTTCCCATGCACGGAAGGCAAAACCCACGGCAGAGGAGAGATGCTCTCACTGCTCAGATGCTGCTTTGTGGCAGGAGCAACAGCCCCATAGTGAGCAGGAGAAGAGCCACCCTGCCTGGTGTCAAACATCTCAGCTCCCTGCACACCAGATTCACCCATTTCTCTGCTCCTCGACCCCACCAACTGCCAGTGCCACAGACTCTGACACCAGAGCAAGCACAGGAGTTTCATAGAGTCACAGACTGGTTTGGGTTGGAAAGGACCTTAAAGCTCATCCAGTTACAACCCCCTGCCACGGGCAGGGACACCTTCCACCAGACCAGGTTGCTCCAAGCCCCTGTGTCCAACCTTGCTTTGAATTTGGAGGGTTGTAACTGGATGGACACACATGAATCCCTTTGCATCAAATATGGAGGTTCCCAGGATGTCAGCAAGAGACTTTGCGTTTCCTCATTGCAGAGGAGATGAGCAGCCTGTGCCCAGGGCTCCTGCCACACCAGCTTCCATGTCACACACCTGGGAAGAGCAAGCAGAAAGCCCGAGTGCAGAGCGAGCGATGGGCTCCTCCAGAGCTCCCTGCAGCTGCTTCTCCTTTTGCTGAGCAGCAGGAAACTTCAAGCCAGATAGGACTGAAAATGCAAGTCAGATGGCTCGTGTGTTTAAAGCCAAGAGCAGGAAACCCCCAGAGAGCCTGGGATAAGATCCAGAGCTTCTGGCACGCTTGTCCCTCCCATTCAACTGGTATTTCCCCACTGGACCCCTTCTTAAAAGAACCCTTATCTCATGGAGCCATAAAAGCATCTTAAGAGCACAGGGCTCCTGAACCCTGCATGTGAGGAAAACAAAAGTGCTGTCCTACTCTGGCTGACCTTTAAGTGAGCAGCAGAACATGAGTTTTTTATGGTATATCATGAAACGACACATTTCATGTGTCTCAGGGAGGTGTGGGCAGAGCTCCACAGGTTCAGTGTAAAATATCACTGCACTTGCTGTTGGGGAGTTGTAAAATGAAGAGAAGTTGAATGCATGCAACTTCCAGGCAACAGCCAAACCCTCCGTGCCTAACCCCTTCCTCTGGGTACTGGAATGCCATTCAAGGGGTCCAGATGTCCTGAGGAGGGCTGAGGAGCACAGCAGGGGCAGGCAGAGGGTCCAGTCCCCAGTGGGCTCTGCTCGGAGGGCAGCACAGCCCTGGGCACCAGCAGCACGAGTGATCCATGCTCCGTGCCCCATGACAACTCTATTACTAATATTCACTAAATAATTAAAGTCTTAAAATCACTGCTGCCCTAGATGCAGATGTGTTATTTAAAAGAAGTTTGGAGAAAAGCAGGCTTGTTTTTATTGCTCATTATCACTGTGTGTCAGTTGGCATCTTCTATTATCTTGTCATCTCAAGACTCCACATCATGCTCTGTCCCCCTCCATCGCACGATTGAGTGTGTGCACGACTATGAACTGCTTGTGCAAATGCCATCACTTCACCCTTGGAAATGCCTGGGCTGTGTGGAGAGCAGCTGCAATGCTCTGCCACTGTATGGACCACTGCGGCCAGGGGATACAGCTCCCGATACACAACCTGCCTCCCCCTGCACAGCTCCTGCCTCATCTGGAGAAGATGGCTTAGAGAAATATTCCATCTTGATGTAAAGGCTGCACATGACGGAGGAACCAACACATCTCCAAGTGCGAGGGAATCCTCACAGAATGCTGGAATGGTTTGGGTTGGAAGGGACCTTAAAGAACTTCTGCCTAAGATCTCATCTCAGTCTCCCCTCTGGCAGGTTAAAGCCATTCCCCCTTGTCCTGTCCCTACAGGCCCTTGTCCAAAGCCCATCTAAGAAAGGGGATTCTATGAAAGTGTGTTCCAAGCACAGCCTTTACCAAAAACTGTCCCAAATGAAGCAAAAGCACAGGGCAGACAACAGAAAAACGCAGCAGGCAGATTAAGAATTCCTGGTTTGAGCACATGGAAATCCAGCCCAGGAGAGGAGGCAGCCGCCAGCACAGAGCTCTTACAGTGCCAGGAAACCAGGACGCGCAGAGGGGAACTGTGTTAATACAGACCAGAGTGGGGTCAGACTTTCAAGTTTTGCTCTGAAGTGCCCTCTCTGCTGTGCATTAGAATTTGCTTGAATAAAAAGTACCAGATTTGGTCCCTGTGGACACGTGTGTGAGTGAAAAATCCCCAGCTCTGCTTGTGAGCACGTGAACAGAGAAGCCTCTCTCCTCACATACGGAGTGAGATTTATCCATCATTCACATCCCACAAGTGCACTGGAGCATTTGAACTTTAATCCAAGCTCAGTTGCTACTTTATTCATGCCAAGTCTGACTCTTCCCTAAAGCAGCGTCTCCCTGCAAACGGCCCGTGCAGGGATGAAGCAGGGCTCTGTGCCCCCAGACTGGTACTTTGGGTGCCAAAAAGCCCTTCTAGAAATCACAGAGGAGTTTTATCTCCTCACACACCTGCTGCAGGTTAGCAGGAGGGTAAGGCAGGTACCTGCTGACTGGCTGACTGAGGGAGTCATTTGGGAAGATACGTTTTGGTTTTAAGCAATGAGGATGGGGATTATAAGATTAGAACTGCTTTAACTGCCAGGCAAAAATGACAGAAATAGGACAGGGTTAGTGTGGGTCAGGCAGGAGCACCAGCAACTGCAAATTAACCCTTCAACAACGTCTTTTGCAAACAAAGGCACAAGAAGCAGGCAGCACATGCCCAGGATTGCTCCATACTCGAGCACTTGGCTCTGCCATCCTGCTGCATCCGCACCATCCTCCCGCCATGCACTCAGGAGAGGAACTCAGCCCTGGACCACCAGATTCATCCTGTTTTAAGCCCATCAGGCTCCAGCTCTAGCACAAAGGGCTGAGCACGACTTCTCAGCTGCTTCTCTTCCGAAAACCCACACTTCAAATGTGGGCTCATGTAACCTCTCCCAAAAACCCATCGAACACACAGAACAGCATTCCAGATACACACACAGAGTGGGGTCTAGAAGGCACCACTGGGAATAACGAATTCACACCCCAGAGCCAAGGCTACCTTTTCCAGCAAGACTTTCAGTTCTACATCAGTTTTTACCCGTTCCTTGTTTCGAGGTGATCTTTAAAACCAGATGGCTGAAAATCTGTATTTCTAATGAAAGCCTAAAGTGGAGAGTTTGTGACACTCACTGCGACTTATCCAAGACAGAAAATTCACATGTCACTGCCCACAGATCAAGAATTACCTCGGTAATAACCTAAATACATAGATGTGCCTCAGATTTTACATGATGTACACAGCGAGGACGTCGCTTCCCCTACCTGAGTGGCTTCTGTGATGGGTGGAGGCCAGCGTTAGTCTTGCCCACAGCGTGGTAAGGCAGAGAGTGAGCACGAAAACCCATTTGCTCAGGCTCTGTATGTCTCTCTCACTCATTCTGCCAAAACCAAGAAGAGATGCATGAGGGAAGGGAGGGCTGAGGAGAGTTGGGAGGTGCAGCCCCCACTCACCAAGGCTGCTGCATGCAACATTGCAGCCCCAAACATGCACAACCACAGGGACCAGGAGGACCTGGCTGCAGGGATATGGCCCTGGGAGGTAGGAAACGCACCCAGGATTCACCCACCACCCCTGGACGGGCTTGGGCTTCTTCAGCAGCACGGCCATGGCAGCAGGACACGAAGAAATCAAGCAGAAGCAGCACAGACGAGCAATAGTTACCTTTTACTGGGCATTCACACCAACACCTGCACATCTGCCAGCCCCGGGTGGGTCAGGTCTCTGCAAGGGGCAGACATCAGTGCATCTGAAAGGGAAAAGAGAAATGGGGTGGTGATACCTGCTGGAAGCGTCTGGGGAGTGTGAACCACCATGGGAATGGCTGGAGATGCCTCAGAGCTTGGCTGGCCTCGTATCAGCTCATGCGCACACACATGCCCGTTGCACACACCAAAACCTCTCTGGAAACTCAGCCCATAACCCTGCTCACCACATTTGAACAACTGAGCAGCTCTGTCTGCTTCAGAGTTGTTGCTCCTGAATTTTACTGCTGGCAGAGCAAAACCATGCTGTCAATATATCAATACATCACATATCAATGCCAGAAAATCAATATAGTACATTTGATACAGATCACAAACACCAAAAGCAGACCCGGGGTGTGTGGGAAGAGCCAGACTAAATCAGCAGCAAGTCATTCCAGGGACTGCCTTTTCCATGTGTGCAACTCACACTGTCATTTCCCTGGTGTCACCAAGGTCCCTTGCAGTGACACCTGTGGTTTGGTCCTCAGGGGCTGGGCTCTTGCAAACCACTCATCAGCAGACAGATGGATGGACTGACCACAGCGGGGGTCATAGAGCTCAGCCACCCTCCTGCCTGGCACTGCATGAGGAACTAAGGAATGGGGGAGCTGATGTCTGGGTGGCACAAGGACCCACATCCCGTGTCCCACCACAGCACCTTCCTCTGTGCCTGCTTCTCCTCTCAGTAACAGCTTCAAAGTTCATAAAACCACACAGACACAGAGCTGCATCCACAACCTCTGAGCACGCCTGGTCCCCAGTAACCCCCTCCCAAGCCACACGGGATGCACTGGGAAGGAGATGAGATTTACATCATCTGGAGCCCTTAAGGAAAAATGTAAGTCAATGGTATTTTAGCATTGACTGCTTTAAACACGTTCTCTGCACTATTTATCAGCCACGGCCCTGCAGGTGTTAATGGCGCAGGGGTTCTGCAGGCAGCAGCACAAGCCGAAACAGCTTTGAGAGCAGCATCTCTGCTCAGCATCTGCCAAGCGAAGTGACAGCCTCCCAGCCTCAGTTATTGCCTGCTGAGGCCTGACTGGGTCCAGGGCAAGTAACTGTGTCTCCCATAAAACTTTAGTGCTGGATTATAATTTATTAACAAGAGGCCATGAAGACAAGTGACACCGAGGTCCAGGAATGCTGCCAGCACCTCTGCTCTGGAGCCAGGCTGAGAGAGCTGGGCTGGGGCAGCTGGAGAAGAGAAGGCTCCTGAAGGGGACACCTTAGAGCAGCTCCAGTGCCTAAAGGGGCTCCAAGAAACCTGGAGAGGGGCTTTGGACAAGGGATGGAGGGACAGGACAAGGGGAATGGCTTGAACCTGCCAGAGGGTACTGCACCCACCAGCATCAACGCAGGCAGCAGGGAAGTGTGGGATTCCTGCCAGGCACCAGGCAAACCCCGGCTGCTGGGAGCAGAAATCTGTAATTTCCAACCACCTTCTCAATTTCTATCTGCTCTGGCCCAGGCTGAGACAGTGAAACAGACTCATAATGAAGCAGCAGAACAGGAAACGCTGACATTTTTAATCAAAACAAAGTGATTTGAGGTGGGAAAAGGGCATTTCTTGTTTTGAAGCATTTCAAAATTAATTATTTTGTTTTAAATTGGCATTTTGAAATAAAAAATGTTTCGTTCCAAACTGCTGATTTCAAACAATATTTTCCAGTTTTGATTCTCCCAGCTCTGGGGGGAGGGGAAATGCCATTAAAAATGTTGACATTTGACCAGAAAAAAAAACCCCAAGAAAACCCAAACAACCAAAATCAGACAGAAAAAAGAGAGAGAGAGAAGAGAAAAAGGTGTCTTGACAAAACCACAGAATTTATGCTAGGAAAAAATGTGGATGTAAGCAAATACTCTTTGTTAATGCTCTAGAACAGCCAGTGTGGCCAGGAGCAGACTGCAGCATGGCTGGGGAGGACACGGACACGCAGGCATCCTGCTCACCTGGTTCCATCCATGCCCACCGGTGACAAAGTGACAAGGGACTGATCCTGCTCCAGCACAACCCTCACTCAGGCTACACCCCACACAGCCCCAGACCTCTGCATCAGCAGAGATGGCTTCGTGTGCAAGGAAACCATCACTCCTTGAAGCAGGCGTGAATTGATGTAATGACACCGCGCCACCTCCCCTGTGTAAAGCTGTATTTAGGCAATTCCCGGCGCTCCAGAGGGCCTGTTGGCAGAATCTGCTCTGCAAGAACCTTCCTCAGAGGGGGAATTTCACACGACAACCTGCACTGTTGGAGTCCCTTCAGAGATGCCACAGCCCATTGTGTAAATACCGATGCCAGCTTAAAAAGCGTGCTCTTTCCTCTGTGAGAAAGTAAAGAGCTCTCAGAGCTGCTCAGTCCCTCGCTGAAACCCAGGGGCACTGTGTGCATCACTGCTCAGCACCATGGCACAATGCCTCCCTGCACCACTGTACAATGCATCCCCCCTGCCATGCTAGACCAGGGGCATGTGCCATAGCACACATCTGTCCTGCTGCACGAAGGGGCACATCTGGCAGCCCAGATGCAAGGACAGCAGACATGATGCTGGCACCAGCTTCTTCACTGTTTGCAGCAGGGAGCACTGGATGCCAACACACATCCTGTGCAGCTTCCAGCAGAGAGGCCAGGTCCCATGGGAGGTCAGCCCACATCTGACATCTCGGTCTCCTGGCTGCTGCTCCAGCTCCCCCTCTGCACAGGGCATACAGGGAGCACAGCCACACTTCCAGGCATGAGCACTGAGCCCCACAGCCCACCCAGAGCTGCTCTGGAAGAGCCCAGCTCCTTCCCATGGGACCCTCTGGACCACTGAATTCTCCAGAATCATAGAACGAATCATAGAATAGTTAGGGTTGGAAAGGACCTTAAGATCATCTAGTTCCAAACCCCCTGCCATGGGCAGGGATGCCTCACACAACTCCAGGAGCCACAAATCCAGGAGATTCCATCCTCGAATCCCTCGGCAGGACCAAAAAGCAAGCACACCACTGGCTGCCTTCATCCCACACAGGACAGGGCTGCACTCCCAGCACAGCCTATATTTAGCTCAGAAGGGCTGAGCTGTTTGCTCGAGCCAAGGAAGCATAAATAAATCACAGCGTTATCAATAATGTAGCCACAGTGTCCGCGCTGTGCTCAAGGGAAGCTGCTGCGCTGAGCGGGAGCCAAGCCGGCGGCTGGGGACAGCACCCGGGGTTCTGAGGAGCATGGGACCAGGAGGTGCCACTGGGGCAATGCTCCTCCCCGGATCCACACTGGCGCAGGTGCTCGGTGCTCCCGCTCCAGTACAAACTCCCATCAGAAAACACAGCTCCACAGAAATTGCTATTTTGACAGTTATCAACCTCCACCGTTGTGAGACTCCAACTACAAACGCTTGGTCTGACTTGAAATTTCTCAGCCTGGAATGTCATTGTGAAATGAAGAGTGGCATTCTGGCACATCAAAGCACTTAATTTTGATTGAAAATATCAGGATCCTCCATTCCATTCCATTCTGTTTGGAATTTGTGGAATTTTCCGTTAACATTTTGTAGCTACTTTCCACCTTTTGGGTCTGAGCTGGGACCTGAAGTAACCCCAAAGTGCCTAAATCTCTCAGAAGATAAATTTAAGTCATAACCAGCATGGCAAGAGACGACTGTTCCTCTGCATGGGCCCATGTCCCTCCCCATGGGCACGCACAGGCACGGGCCACCACCTGCATCAGAGCCTCATGGAGGCTCCCTAGCACAGAGACACACCAGGAGCAGCCCCTCTGCTGGTCACGGGAGCTGGAGATGTTCTCCTCCTCCTTTGTTAAGGCCCCAAATAGTGCTGTGACCCCACAGCCAGGATGGTGCCTTTGCAGCTCGGCTGGAACGCAGCCGGTACCCGCAGTGCTAATGAAGGACTCTCTGTCAGGCCAGATTATGTCCAAGTCCTGTCAGTCTGGAGCATTGTTTGCAATGGTCCCTGTGAGCTGGATAATTATAGTGAGCAGAATTCCACCCAAAAAAAGAAGCAGAGAGAGACGGGGGAGGCCAGCACAGTGGCTGGTTTTCTATGCCAAGTGACACAAGCCCTCCCCGCTGAAGCTCCAACACTGTCAACCTTTGTGCACATCTGGCCCTACACTTCTGCCAGTTTTCCAGAAGCTATTTTCCTACTCCTGCTATTTCAGCACTTCCTGGAGTTTTGTCAAGCTTCATTTAGTGCAAGAAGAGGTGTAGGCTTTGACCCACAGAGCACAACCCAGGGCTCTGTGGTGCCAGGCAGCCCTGGACCCCAGGCACAGAGTGGGGAGGGAACCTGGCCAAAGCCAGGAGCAGAAACCTTCCCGTGATGTTGGAGGTGTCACAATGCACATCGAAGGGGGAGAGTTTATTTCACTGCTTCCCTGAAGCAGAGTCAGATGGTCTCAGCAAACACCCCAGTGAGCAGGAGCAGGGGACAGGCTGCACACCCAGCCCCTGACCTCCCTGCGCTCAGCTGCCTGGCAAACCTCATGACACTGGTGGCCAAGATGAACCCCCTCGTACAAGAAGGAGGGCTCGGCCCCAGAGCACTCCTCTGTGCCCATGGACACTGCCCAGAGGAAAGGTGTCCTTCCCTCACCCTGAAGCACAGCTCCATGGGCTGCACAACAGG